GTGCCCAAAGAAAATTAAATGGGATCCACAATTTGAGTTCTTGTATGAAGGGATATACCTGAACTATGGTGGTCTTGATATGTCTTATTTTACTAACATTGTCCAGCAAGTATGAGTCCGAGGGAAAGAAACCCTTGTTAACAAAGTAGTGATTTTCAATCCTTGCAAACGCCTGCAGAGCAAAGTCATACGGGTTGTTAATAAATCAATTCAATGATTTTACAGATTTCCACAGATCAAGAATCCAGATAAAGACTGGAACACTCATCAAACTAACCAATGAAAATTTATCATCTTCTGCCTTTTGAATGTTTTCATCATTTGGAAGAAGATGAGCAGTCATCATTTCCCATTTAGTCCAAGCTCTTGCAGCTGCATACTACAAGATCATAGTGAAATTATTACCATTGTAGAAAGACACATAAACTTATCAATCCAAACTCTTCCAGTTACTAATAAAAAGCTGAGAATTCAATTGCTTCAACTGCCAAAAAGAACAAACTCAAAACATTTTATCATGTAATAGTGATTAGATCTCAACATACTTGAGTTTCCAGATCATCGGAATTCAGTCTTCTGTGATATGCAGCAACAAGGCTACCTCTCTCGTTTTCTGGAATAAGATCTCTAAACTGCTCCCATGCTTTGAAAACAGATAAACAAACACTTGTGAAGAAGAGAAAAGACGGAAGCTCTTTAGCCAGACAACTAAATTTGCACATAAAACTCTAGTTCCATAATCACTAAGCTTAAATAGAAATGTCTGCATACGCAAACAATAGTAATCAATTCAAAGACGACAACAATATAAAATAAATCCATAACTCCAACACACAATGGGATACAAGTAAGAGAATTACCATCAGGGTATATAGCAGCAGCACCACCCTCGTAAAACCAATCAATCTCCTTTTTCCGCAACAGAAAGATTCCTCTAAGGACCAAACCAGTAACCTTGCACCCGAAGAAGAAAATGTGAAAGGTTATCCCAAGAGAAGTAACATCCTCCTTTTGATTCACATGTCAAGTTAATCTAAACGCTAGTTAAAATAGCAAAAGGAAACTACTACTTAGGTCCTCTAGTTCCTTCCATTCAAATCACATAATCCAATCAGTCAATCGCTAAGTCACCCCTATCGTTCTTGCACCTTTTCAGGGTGGGACTGGCTGTATGCAAGTGCTAAAGTGCTTCCCCATGATCCACCAAAAACCTACGCAAACAGAGAAAAGAATGTTCACACTCTTACGCATATTTTCATCACAACAACAAGACGAAGCATACATCATGAATTTTCACCTGCCATTCCGGAATTTGCAAATGTTGTCTTAGTTTTTCAATATCACTCACAAGGTCCCATGTAGTGTTTTCTTGCAAGCAAGCATGTGGTGTACTCTTTCCCGCACCTCTCTGAAGGAAAACAAAGAAAATACGAGGAAATTAATATCCAAGATGGATACTGTGATTTAGCCTCCACAAAAAAATTAAGAGAGCAAGACCTGGTCAAACAGAACAATCCGATAAAAGTCAGGATCGAAGAATCTCCTGTTACTAGGAACTGTCCCTCCTCCTGGCCCTCCGTGAAGAAAAACAACTGGCTGCAACATAAAATGAAATGAAATTGCAAACACCAAACTTAGAGCTCCAAAAGACAAATGGCTTACGTACGTGTCCATTGGGGTTTCCTGATTGCTCCCAGTAGAGAGTGTGAATATCTGAAACCTTTAGATTTCCGGTGTTGTATGGCTCAATTGGAGGATAAAGGCTTCTCCTTATCTCCACCGTCTCTGCTCCAGATTCCATTATGTCACTTCGCTGCAGCTCACTCTTACTGCAAATAACAGGAATCTTGCGTTGCCTTACTGAAATTCAAAGAAAGACCAGTTCTGATCATAACCACCAAATTAACAGATAATATAAAACTCTTCCTGAGATTAGAGAACAAGGTAATTAGCCTAGACTCCCCAATCCACATAATCATCGAGGCATTAATCGAAACGGAATTTGTAGACAAATCTCTAAATACTCACAAAAACATGCATATGTGTATACAGAACACTCGATATCTGCAATAATCAAGCATCATACAAGTTCATAATTCAGATAAACCCTATGAGCTATGGAAGATCAAAGGATCATAGAAATGATGAGAGAGAGAGAAACCTGGGAATGAGAGAGTGAGATTGTTGTGGGTTAGCGGAAACAGTGGAAAACAAGAGCAAGGGGACAAAGAGGACGATGGAAGTAAATAACTGTTAGTGATGATGAGGACCCCTGATTTCATACTTTGTGAGAAACTGGTGATGAAACCAAGGCCTTCTTATTATGCATTCTTTTGGATTTTTTTCTTTTTTATATATATTTTCAGTTTGGAAGATTGATAATCCCTTGGGTTCTTCATCAGGATGCGCAAGACAAATTTGAAAAGGAACATCAACTGTGTCTCGTGGTGAAGGGTCTCAACCTGGATCATCAGAATCCTGCGGGAATTAAGAAAACTATGATGGCATCTTGGGCTCCCAAGGGATGTGTGGATGCGAAAGTTAATGATGACAGTACGGTGAATTTCTATTTTACAAAGGATTATCAACTGATGAATGTGTATGAAAATGCCCCATATGAGTATAGAGGGTGGATGTTAGCTGTTGATCTGTGGAAAAATAGGAGATTTCCAAGTTTTTTGCAAACAATTCCCTTTTGGATTCATATTGAGAAGCTGCCTCAGATGTATTGTAGAAGTCACATAATTGAGAGCTTTGCTTCTAAGTTTGGTCATGTGGATGAGGTTCGTATTAGGGAGCCTGTACTTCATTTGCAGAGGCCAGCAGAGGTTAAGGTGAGAGTTACAATGGATATTGATAGCCAAATATCAACAGTTCGCACTGTTCATATCATGAATACACCAGTGGAACTGGAATTCTCTTTTCAGAAGTTGGTGAAATTTTGCACCACATGTGGAAGCTTAAGGCATGGCTATGAGAAGTGTCCTCAAGCATCAACACTTACAGCTACTGCTGGAGCTTTAATGGAGCTTGGTCACACTCCTTATCTCACTGAGCAAGAAAGATCAGCTGCAATTGAGGGTCTTAATACTAAACAGGACCTGGGGGAAAGTTCTGGTGTTCAAAAGGATATTCCAGAGATGGTTGAACCTATTGCAGATTATTTACTGGAACAAGGTGTGGGGAAGAGGCCAGCTGTTGAAGTTGATTTAATGATGGACGATAAGGATAAAGGAATGAAGAGAAAGCTTGATGAAATGGAGATTGAAGAGGTTGATAATGTTAGGAAGAAGCATTCTACTGAAATGGTTAAGGGAGTCATAATAAAGGATGTTATTGAGAAGGAAATTGGTCAGTCGGAAGCAGAAGGTATGAGTGAGATGGGAAAGAAGGCTACGGATATGGGTGATACGGTGGGAACTATCTCTGAGTTTCCAGTTCAAGCTAAAGAAATGGAAGTTGGATGTTCTGAGGTTGCAAAAGGTATGGGTCAAGATAAGACAAAGGCAGGTGTTAAAACTAAAGGCTTGGTGGTTGCCATAAAACCACCAAAGAAG